CAGCAACTGACGTCCTTTGAATGTCTTCGCTTGCTTGACAACATGAGTCGGAGCAGGCCACTTGCGCGGCAGTATCACAGTCAGGTTCCTCGGAAAGCTAAAGGGTTGGTAAACATGCATCCCGCCTTCTGGAATTCTGTTGCGAGCTGATTTAAAATGATAACATATCCCAGCAAGAGTGAAACTTGAGCTGCGAGGCAGAAGCTTACTGGCTGGCTTCACCGCATAGTGCCTTCTTTCGGTTTGCTAAAAAGTGCGCGATGTCTCGTGGCAAAGAGATGCAAAGAGTGCTGGGGTGATGATTGGACGTTTCCCAATGCAACGATGCCGTTTGGCTGACAGCCATCAGAGCGGGTCCCAATATCAGCATGAGGGTAGCATCATCTCTCACAATTTGGTATACAGACGCCCTTGCCGCCATGTTCTCAAAGGCAGCAAGGTGGCGCCGGCTGCAGCCCAGCGGCCCTGGCCCGGGAGCATATGCCATCCCGTTCGGGGCGGGCTTCACGTTCGGCCGGCGCTGGAAGATGAACGAGACCTGCTTGCCGCGCTGTCGGCTCGTGGCGGCACCTGCGCCTGCGCCTGCGCCGCGCGGGCCCACGCTGCTGGCGGCCCGGTCGGCGCAGGCGGACATAGTTGGCCAGGGCGCACTTGCCCAGGTCATCGCGGGTCATGTCGACGGCGGCAAGGTGGAAGTGACACACGATGCAAAAGGAATGATGAGCTCTGGAAGGAGTTCGAAATTATCAATCTCGTGGGCGGGCATCCAAACATCGTGCAAGTGATCGAGTTTGAGGCGAAAGCATCAAGACATGCGATAGTGATGGAGATGCTGGGACCTTCACTTCTGAACATGCTGAGATTCCCGGGAGTGGCACCCTTTACCATCTCAGATGTGGCCGCGAGTTTGCTGAGGGCACTGGATCACCTGCACGGCTTTTTTGTTGCGCACTGCGACGTGTCTGCTCGCAAGCTGTGCAGCAGACGGGGGTGGCACATGGTGCTCATTGAAGCGGTTGATTTTTGAGAAGCCCTGCCACACAGCAGGAGCATGCATGCCAGGGAAGGCTTTGTGTCTTTGTGGGTTCTGTGTGGCAGGACTTGTCCAAGATCACCCGCTTCATTGAAGTGGTTGATCTGCGAAATGTCCTGCCACACAGCATGATTCAAAGAGCAGCATGCATGCCAGGGAAGGCTGTGCGCGTGCTGTGCGGCAGGGGTCAGGGCTAGTGGGACCACCTCCGCCCCCACGCTGCCGCAGCCAAAGAGAATTGCCCTGCAGACGCCAGCGCAACAGCTTCTGTTTCGGCAAGCGTTCAAGCAGCGAGCTAATTCTCAGAGGATGTTTGCTGAATGCCCACTATGGCCCAGAGCTGATAACAGGGCGGGCCGCTGCAAGCAGGGCACTTTAAGGACTTTGATGGAGGATAGAACTTGCAGCCTTGAGGCTGTGCAACACTCGAACTTACCTTGCAGTTGTGTTTCAAATTTTCCTTGGACAGCTGAAGCCACTGACGCCCTTTGCATGTCTTCGATATTGCTGCACAGCTGCATTTTGACCACCCAATCTTTCTTTAGAAAGAGTTGAGTTGAGCTGCCCGGCAGAAGCTTACGGGCTGCGCTCCACAGCATAGTGGCTTCTTTCGGTTTGCTCAAAAGTGCGAAACTGTTTGTGCGGCTGCGATATCTCGTGGCAATCAGATGCAAAGAGTTCTGGAGTGATGATTGCAACGATGCCGTTTGGCTGACAGCCATCAGAGTGGGTCCAAATATCAACATGAAGGTAGCATCCTCTTTCACAATTTGGTAAGCACGCCCTTGCCGCCATGTGCTCAAAGGCAGCAAGGCGGCGCCCGCCGCAGCCCAGCGGCCCTGGCCCTTAAGCTGGCCCGGGAGCATATGCCATCCTGTTCTGGCCGGACTTCACGTTCAGCCAGCGCTGGAAGATGCTCGAGACCACGCCGCCTGGCGGCCAAGTCGGCAGCGCAGGCGGAGATAGTTGGCAAGGGCGCACTTGCCCCAGGTCATCGTGGGCCATGTCGACGGCCGAAGGGTGGCAAGAAAAGTTGTGCGCGTGTGTCACTTTTCTTGCCACCTTGCGGCCGTCAAAATTGCCCAAGATGACCTTAAAGGATTCAAAATTCTCACACTCGTAGGCGGGCGTCCAAACATCGTGCATGCGATAGTGATGGAGATGCTCGGGACTTCACTTCTGAACATGCTGAGATTCCCGGGAGTGGCGCCGTTTGCCATCTGAGATGTGGCCGTGACTTTGCTGAGCACGTTCCAACGCGCTCAGCCACGTCACTACACAGCTTTGTTATTGCCTGCCAGGATGAACATGTGTGCCAGGGAAGGCATTGAGTGCTGTGTGGCAGAACTTGTCCAAGATCACCCGCTTCATTGAAATGGTTGATCTGCGAAATGTCCTGCCACACAGCATGATTCAGAGAGGAGCATGCGTGCCAGGGAAGGCTGTGCTCGAGCTGTGCGGCAGGACTTGTCCAAGATCACCAACTTCATTGAAGTGGTTGATCCGTGAGAAGCCCTGCCACACAGCAGGAGCATGCATGCCAGGGAAGGCTTTGTGTCTTTGTGGGTTCTGTGTGGCAGGACTTGTCCAAGATCACCCGCTTCATTGAAGTGGTTGATCTGCGAAATGCCCTGCCACACAGCATGATTCAAAGAGCAGCATGCATGCCAGGGAAGGCTGTGCGCGTGCTGTGCGGCAGGGGTCAGGGCTAGTGGGACCACCTCCGCCCCCACGCTGCCGTAATCAAAGAGAATTACCCTGCAGACGCCGCGCATCCGATTCCCAGCGCAACAGCTTCTGTTTCGGCAAGCGTTCAAGCAGCGAGCTAATTCTCAGAGGATGTTTGCTGAATGCCCACTATGGCCCAGAGCTGATAACAGGGCGGGCCGCTGCAGGCAGGGCACTTTAAAGACTTTGATGGAGGATAGAACTTGCAGCCTTGAGGCTGTGCAACACTCGAACTTACCTTGCAGTGGTGATTGAAATTCCCTTGGACAGCTGAAGCAACTGACGCCCTTTGCATGTCTTCGATATTGCTGCACAGCTGCATTTTGACCACCCAACCTTTTTTTAGAAAGAGTTGAGTTGAGCTGCCCGGCAGAAGCTTACGGGCTGCGCTCCACAGCATAGTGGCTTCTTTCGGTTTGCTCAAAAGTGCGAAACTGGTTGTGCGGCTGCGATATCTCGTGGCAATCGGATGCAAAGAGTTCTGGAGTGATGATTGTCGTTTCCCAATGCAACGATGCCGTTTGGCTGACAGCCATCAGAGTGGGTCCAAATATCAACATGAAGGTAGCATCCTCTTTCACAATTTGGTAAGCACGCCCTTGCCGCCATGTGCTCAAAGGCAGCAAGGCGGCGCCCGCCGCAGCCCAGCGGCCCTGGCCCTTAAGCTGGCCCGGGAGCATATGCCATCCTGTTCTGGCCGGACTTCACGTTCAGCCAGCGCTGGAAGATGCTCGAGACCGCGCCGCCTGGCGGCCAAGTCGGCAGCGCAGGCGGAGATAGTTGGCAAGGGCGCACTTGCCCAGGTCATCGTGGGCCATGTCGACGGCCGAAGGGTGGCAAGAAAAGTTGTGCGCGTGTGTCACTTTTCTTGCCACCTTGCGGCCGTCAACATGGCCCAAGATGACCTTAAAGGATTCAAAACTCTCACACTCGTAGGCGGGCATCGAAACATCGTGCATGCGATAGTTATGGAGATGCTCGGGACTTCACTTCTGATCATGCTGAGATTCCCGGGAGTGGCGCCGTTTGCCATCTGAGATGTGGCCGTGACTTTGCTGAGCACGTTCCAACGCGCTCAGCCACGTCACTACACAGCTTTGTTATTGCCTGCCAGGATGAACATGTGTGCCAGGGAAGGCATTGAGTGCTGTGTGGCAGAACTTGTCCAAGATCACCCGCTTCATTGAAATGGTTGATCTGTGAAATGTCCTGCCACACAGCATGATTCAGAGAGGAGCATGCGTGCCAGGGACGGCTGTGCTCGAGCTGTGCGGCAGGACTTGTCCAAAATCACCAACTTCATTGAAGTGGTTGATCCTTGAGAAGCCCTGCCACACAGCAGGAGCATGCATGCCAGGGAAGGCTTTGTGTCTTTGTGGGTTCTGTGTGGCAGGACTTGTCCAAGATCACCCGCTTCATTGAAGTGGTTGATCTGTGAAATGTCCTGCCACACAGCATGATTCAAAGAGCAGCATGCATGCCAGGGAAGGCTGTGCGCGTGCTGTGCGGCAGGGGTCAGGGCTAGTGGGACCACCTCCGCCCCCACGCTGCCGCAGCCAAAGAGAATTGCCCTGCAGACGCCGCGCATCCGATTCCCAGCGCAACAGCTTCTGTTTCGGCAAGCGTTCAAGCAGCGAGCTAATTCTCTGAGGATGTTTGCTGAATGCCCACTATGGCCCAGAGCTGATAACAGGGCGGGCCGCTGCAGGCAGGGCACTTTAAAGACTTTGATGGAGGATAGAACTTGCAGCCTTGAGGCTGTGCAACACTCGAACTTACCTTGCAGTGGTGTTTCAGGTTTTCCTTGGACAGCTGAAGCAACTGACACCCTTTGCATGTCTTCGATATTGCTGCACAGCTGCATTTTGACCACCCAATCTTTCTTTAGAAAGAGTTGAGTTGAGCTGCCCGGCAGAAGCTTACGGGCTGCGCTCCACAGCATAGTGGCTTCTTTCGGTTTGCTCAAAAGTGCGAAACTGGTTGTGCGGCTGCGATATCTCGTGGCAATCGGATGCAAAGAGTTCTGGAGTGATGATTGTCGTTTCCCAATGCAACGATGCCGTTTGGCTGACAGCCATCAGAGTGGGTCCGAATATCAACATGAAGGTAGCATCCTCTTTCACAATTTGGTAAGCACGCCCTTGCCGCCATGTGCTGAAAGGCAGCGAGGCGGCGCCGGCAGCGAGGCGGCGCCGGCCGCAGCCCAGCGGCCCTGGCCCTTAAGCTGGCACGGGAGCATATGCCATCCTGTTCTGGCCGGACTTCACGTTCAGCCAGCGCTGGAAGATGCTCGAGACCGCGCCGCCTGGCGGCCAAGTCGGCAGCGCAGGCGGAGATAGTTGGCAAGAGCGCACTTGCCCAGGTCATCGTGGGCCATGTCGACGGCCGAAGGGTGGCAAGAAAAGTTGTGCGCGTGTGTCACTTTTCTTGCGACCTTGCGGCCGTCAAAATGGCCCAAGATGACCTTAAAAGGTTCAAAACTCTCACACTCGCAGGCGGGCATCGAAACATCGTGCATGCGATAGTGATGGAGATGCTCGGGCCTTCACTTCTGAACATGCTGAGATTCCCGGGAGTGGCGCCGTTTGCCATCTGAGATGTGGCCGTGACTTTGGTGAGCACGTTCCAACGCGCTCAGCCATGTCACTACACAGCTTTGTTATTGCCTGCCAGGATGAACATGCATGCCAGGGAAGGCATTGAGTGCTGTGTGGCAGAACTTGTCCAAGATCACCCGCTTCATTGAAATGGTTGATCTGTGAAATGTCCTGCCACACAGCATGATTCAGAGAGGAGCATGCGTGGCAGGGAAGGCTGTGCGCGTGCTGTGCGGCAGGGGTCAGGGCTAGTGGGACCACCTCCGCCCCCACGCTGCCGCAGCCAAAGAGAATTGCCCTGCAGACGCCGCGCATCCGATTCCCAGCGCAACAGCTTCTGTTTCGGCAAGCGTTCAAGCAGCGAGCTAATTCTCTGAGGATGTTTGCTGAATGCCCACTATGGCCCAGAGCTGATAACAGGGCGGGCCGCTGCAGGCAGGGCACTTTAAAGACTTTGATGGAGGATAGAACTTGCAGCCTTGAGGCTGTGCAACACTCGAACTTACCTTGCAGTGGTGTTTCAGGTTTTCCTTGGACAGCTGAAGCAACTGACACCCTTTGCATGTCTTCGATATTGCTGCACAGCTGCATTTTGACCACCCAATCTTTCTTTAGAAAGAGTTGAGTTGAGCTGCCCGGCAGAAGCTTACGGGCTGCGCTCCACAGCATAGTGGCTTCTTTCGGTTTGCTCAAAAGTGCGAAACTGGTTGTGCGGCTGCGATATCTCGTGGCAATCGGATGCAAAGAGTTCTGGAGTGATGATTGTCGTTTCCCAATGCAACGATGCCGTTTGGCTGACAGCCATCAGAGTGGGTCCGAATATCAACATGAAGGTAGCATCCTCTTTCACAATTTGGTAAGCACGCCCTTGCCGCCATGTGCTGAAAGGCAGCGAGGCGGCGCCGGCAGCGAGGCGGCGCCGGCCGCAGCCCAGCGGCCCTGGCCCTTAAGCTGGCACGGGAGCATATGCCATCCTGTTCTGGCCGGACTTCACGTTCAGCCAGCGCTGGAAGATGCTCGAGACCGCGCCGCCTGGCGGCCAAGTCGGCAGCGCAGGCGGAGATAGTTGGCAAGAGCGCACTTGCCCAGGTCATCGTGGGCCATGTCGACGGCCGAAGGGTGGCAAGAAAAGTTGTGCGCGTGTGTCACTTTTCTTGCGACCTTGCGGCCGTCAAAATGGCCCAAGATGACCTTAAAGGGTTCAAAACTCTCACACTCGCAGGCGGGCATCGAAACATCGTGCATGCGATAGTGATGGAGATGCTCGGGCCTTCACTTCTGAACATGCTGAGATTCCCGGGAGTGGCGCCGTTTGCCATCTGAGATGTGGCCGTGACTTTGGTGAGCACGTTCCAACGCGCTCAGCCATGTCACTACACAGCTTTGTTATTGCCTGCCAGGATGAACATGCATGCCAGGGAAGGCATTGAGTGCTGTGTGGCAGAACTTGTCCAAGATCACCCGCTTCATTGAAATGGTTGATCTGCGAAATGTCCTGCCACACAGCATGATTCAGAGAGGAGCATGCGTGGCAGGGAAGGCTGTGCTCGTGCTGTGCGGCAGGACTTGTCCAAGATCACCAACTTCATTGAAGTGGTTGATCTTTGAGAAGCTCTGCCACACAGCATGTTTCAAAGAGGAGCATGCTTGCCAGGGAAGGCTGTGCGCATGCTGTGCGGCAGGGGTCAGGGCTAGTGGGACCACCTCCGCCCCCACGCTGCCGCAGCCAAAGAGAATTACCCTGCAGACGCCGCGCATCCGATTCCCAGCGCAACAGCTTCTGTTTCGGCAAGCGTTCAAGCAGCGAGCTAATTCTCAGAGGATGTTTGCTGAATGCCCACTATGGCCCAGAGCTGATAACAGGCCGGGCCGCTGCAGGCAGGGCACTTTAAAGACTTTGATGGAGGATAGAACTTGCAGCCTTGAGGCTGTGCAACACTCGAACTTACCTTGCAGTGGTGTTTCAGGTTTCCCTTGGACAGCTGAAGCAACTGACGCCCTTTGCATGTCTTCGATATTGCTGCACAGCTGCATTTTGACCACCCAACCTTTTTTTAGAAAGAGTTGAGTTGAGCTGCCCGGCAGAAGCTTACGGGCTGCGCTCCACAGCATAGTGGCTTCTTTCGGTTTGCTCAAAAGTGCGAAACTGGTTGCGCGGCTGCGATATCTCGTGGCAATCAGATGCAAAGAGTTCTGGAGTGATGATTGTCGTTTCCCAATGCAACGATGCCGTTTGGCTGACAGCCATCAGAGTGTGTCCCAATATATATCAATATCAGCATGAAGGTAGCATCATCTCTCACAATTTGGTAGAAACGCCCTTGCCGCCATGTTCTCAAAGGCAGCATACACCATCCCGTTCGGGACGGGCTTCACGTTTGGCCAGCGCTGGAAGATGCTCGAGACCGCGCCGGGCCCACGCTGCTGGCGTCCCGGTCGGCAGCGCAGGTCGAGACAGTTGGCAAGGGCGCACTTGCCCAGGTCATCTTGGGCCATTTCGACGGCCGCAGGGTTGCAAGGAAAGCTTTCCTTGCAACCTTGCGGCCGTCGAAATGGCCCAAGATGACCTTACAGGAATCAGGAGCTTTTGAAGGAGTTCAAAGTTGTGAAAGTCGTGGGCGGGCATTCAAACATCGTGCAAGTGTGATGGAGATGCTGGGGCCTTCACTTCTGAACATGCTGGGATTCCCGGGAGTGGCACCGTTTGCCATCCCAGTTGTGGCCGTGAGTTTGCTGAGGGCACTGGATCACATACACGGCTTTTTTGTGGCGCACTGCGACGTGTCTGCTCGCAACCTGTGCAGCAGACTGGGGTGGCGCATGGTGCTCATTGACTTTGACAGCGCCCAGATCCACTCGTTGTGGCCAAGTCACTACATGGCTTTGTTATTGCCTGCCAGGAGGAACATGCATGCCAGGGAAGGCTTTGAGTGCTGTGTGGCAGGACTTGTTCAAGATCATCCGCTTCATTGAAATGGTTGATCTTTGAGAAGCCCTGCCACACTGCAGGAGCATGCGTGCCAGGATGTGGCAGGACTTGTTCAAGATCACCCACTTCATGGAAGTGGTTGATCTTTGAGAAGCTCTGCCACAAGGAAGGAGCCTGCGTGCCAGGGATGTGGCAGGACTTGTTCAAGATCACTCGCTTCATTGAAGCGCTTGATCTTTGAGAAGCCCTGCCACACAGCAGGAGCATGCGTGCCAGGGATGTGGCAGGACTTGTCCAAGATCACCCGCTTCATTGAAGTGGTTGATCTTTGAGAAGCCCTGCCACACTGCAGGAGCCTGCATGCCAGGATGTGGCAGGACTTGTTCAAGATCACCCGCTTCATTGAAGTGGTTAATCTTGGAGAAGCCCTGCCACATCCTGCAGTGTGGCAGGATGTGGCAGGACTTGTTCAAAATCACCCGCTTCATTGAGGTGGTTGATCTTTGAGAAGCCCTGCCACACTGCAGGAGCATGCGTGCCAGGGATATGGCAGGAATTGCTCAAGATCACCCGCTTCATTGAAGTGGTTGATCTGCGACATGTCCTGTCACACAGCATGTTTCGTGCTGTGCGGCAGGGGTCAGGGCGAGTGGGACTGGTCTTCATGCGTTTTGCAGGTCAAGGTAGTGGCGGACCTTGCGGAGCTTCAGGAGCGGAACCCACTCATCAGCGACTGGATATAGAAACTGCGAGAGCAAGACCAAGACCTCCGCCCCCATGCTGCCAGAGCGGCCAAATTCCGACGCCAGGATTACCCTGTTGGCGCTCCGCAGCCGAATCCCAGCGCAAACATTCCAGTTTCGGCCCAGGCGTGATATGAGGATAGGCCGCTGCAGGCAGGGTGCTCTCAAGACTTTGATTGGTGATAGAACTTTGAGGCAGTGTGACACTCGAACTGTCTTGCTGTGGTGTTTCCTTGCAACAGCGGCAGCAACTGACGTCCTTTGAATGTCTTCGCTTGCTTGACAACATGTCGTTTCGAAAGCTCTCGGCAGAGTCTGAGCGGGGCAGAGTTGGAGCAGGCCACTTGCGCGGCAGTATCACAGTCAGGTTCCTCGGAAAGCTAAAGGGTTGGTAAACATGCATCCCGCCTTCTGGAATTCTGTTGCGAGCTGATTTGAAATGATAACATATCCCAGCAAGAGTGAAACTTGAGCTGCGAGGCAGAAGCTTACTGGCTGGCTTCACCGCATAGTGCCTTCTTTCGGTTTGCTAAAAAGTGCGAAACTCGTCCGACTGCGATGTCTCGTGGCAAAGGAGATGCAAAGATTGCTGGAGTGATGACTGGAATCAGGAGCTTTTGAAGGAGTTCAAAGTTCTGAAAGTCGTGGGCGGGCATTCAAACATCGTGCAAGTGATCGAGCTTGAGGCGAAAGCATTAAGACATGCGATACTGATGGAGATGCTGGGACCTTCACTTCTGAACATGCTGAGATTCCCGGGAGTGGCGCCGTTTGCCATCCCAGATGTGGCCGTGAGTTTGCTGAGGGCACTGGATCACATACACGGCTTTTTTATGGCGCACTGTGATGTATTTGCTCGCAACCTGTGCAGCAGACTGGGGTGGCGCATGGTGCTCATTGACTTTGACAGCGCCCAGATCCACTGCAGCTTAGACGAACTGTCTGAGGGCCAGGTCAACTTGGAGCATTTCCGACGCCAGGACCTCTCACCATTGCATAGCAGAAACACGAATGCCTGGGGAAGGCTTTGTGCGTGCTGAGTCCTGTGTGGTAGGACTTCTCAAGGATCAACCACTTCAAAGAGGAGAACGCAGCATGCGTGCGAGGGAAGGCTCTGTGCGTGCTGTGCGGCAGGGGTGGGGGCTCTGTGGTCACGTCACTACACGGCTTTGTTATTGCCTGCCAGGAGGAACATGCATGCCAGGGAGTGCTGTGTGGCAGGATCAGTCCAAGATCACCCGCTTCATTGAAATGGTTGATCTGCGACACGCCTGCCACACATGATTCAAAGAGGAGCATGCATGCCAGGGAAGGCTTTGAGTGCTGC